GTATGCGATATTAAGGGCTGCTTTCATGTCCGACGAGCCAGTTCGTGGTGCGCCGTCGATTGACGCATTTTCTTTTCGAGCCCGGAGAGCCGCGTGCAACCGCAGTCGTTACGCTTCCGTCGTTTCGTCTCGCTCACTCGAAGTCTCTTATTTTCCGCTCCTTTTTCTTCGGTCGTACCATTCCGCAGCGTGAGTCGGCTTCAACCGAGACCCTCTTTCTCCGTCTACTAACTGGAGCGCGCCAAACAACGTTTTTCTCTCCACGAAAGCTCCATCTGTCCGCGGGATCAGCGGGAAATACGATTTTCCGCGAGCAGCCGGGACGAGAGACAGTTGTTCGGTCAGTGATCCGTCGTGATTCACGAGCAGTACACGCGTATCCGGTTGCCTAGTATAACCGGTGAGAGACTGAAACAGTTTCCGTCGTCGACGTCGCCCCAGAGAGGAAGCATGGCCCAAACGTACAACCAGAAGAAGAACGTCTACAGCATCGACCAAATCCTGGGCCATGGTAAGGACGAAGGTACGATGTATTTTATTCTTCGGGGGATCGGCGGTCGTGTTGATCGCGTCAATCGAGATTCGAATTTCTTCCAGGACCAGTGTCGCGTGATCGGCGCCGAAAAATCGCGAGGCGGATCGGTTGACGTTATATTCCTGCGCGATTTAATAGGATAGAACTATCGCCGTTCACAGCGAAGCCGGTTTGTTTAGGGTATATAGATAGCGAGACCGAGTCTCAATTTACTCGACGGCAATACGGCGGCGCGTAATGTTGCATTATTATCTGGTATCTAATATCGTTGAGTAAACTAAGGTCTCATTTACCAACATTTTATTGTCGCCGCATCGATGCGGCCGCGATTGCGATAAAAAAAAAGTGTAGCCGGGGGAAAAAGTTTCTCTCTAACTGAAAACAAAGTGGGTTATCTCCGTTAACCCATCGTCCGGGCGCATCAGATAGCGCTGGTAATTATATGTCAATTTAGCGGACGCCGTATTGCCGGTTTCCCTATGAAAATCGTTATAACAGAGCGCGCGGGGGCGATCGATCGGTTCGGCGAACGGGGAACGGACTCGCGGGCGTCGGGCATCCGCCGATTCATCGTCGAACGGCTCGCCTGGAGATCTTCCTCGCGCGTCGTCTAATTACCGCGAGCGTATCGAAAGGCTAATTAGGTCGTGGATTCGAATCTGAGGCGACGATCAGTGAATTCACAACGAGACACGCGGCACGCGACCGATCCATGCGGTTGTTCGCGAGAGGCCCGTTCGCCGTGCGACCGCTCGAGCACGCACGAGCACGCAATTATTTCATTAAAATATTCGAACGCCGGGTCCGCCGGAGTTTCCTCAGAAACCGTGATTAGCGGAGGTGTATAATTCTCGAAACAGCGACACGCGCGCGGCTGCTTCGCGGTGAATTAGCCCCGTTCCCGGTACAAAGTCGCGATTCCATATTGCCACCTGGCACGACATAGAAACGCCGCCGCCGAGACACGACGTCGATAATTAACGCGGTAAACAGGTTCGCCTCTTTTCCCGGCTCCGTTCCGTGTAACGCCAACGGCGAATTAGCGTGCCCGATAAGGGTCGAACGATTAATTCACGATCATCCGACCGGGGACGCTAACTCGATCCACCGGCCATAGAAAATTAATAAACCCGCGTGAACGTACGCTTATTGGGTTCCCGCGAAGAAAAGTCGCCGATTTTTTTGCCGTCACTATTATCCCGGGGAGTTTAACGATGAACGTATTACCCGTAAACCCTCTTACGGATTTTATTAGATTTCCGGAGCGCAAAGACTCCGGACCTTCGTGTAATCCGTTCCAGCTCGGCGTATATCTTGCCCGCGGAGATGCGCCGCGAGCTTCTCCCCCTCGGCCGTGTTGTATCCGGCGTCGTTCGGGTATACGTAGACGTCGCGAAAAGGGAAAAATGTAATTGCATACCGTAGATTGATTACCCGTTGCTCGCGTGCCGACGGTATTTTTCTGAATGGATCGTGTCGGTAATAGCGTTGATAATCTTGAGGAAATTGCGACAGGAATTGGGCCCTTTCAAATCGGTTTATCAGGGTGTTAATATACTCCTCTGGTCTTGTTTGCCGGGATGAGGTATAATGAATTTCTATGTGATTACCGTTAGTTAATGATTATAATAAAATACAATTTGCTCGACGTCAGTTGAAAATGCAGCGAAGAATGCCATGGTCAATAGTAAAAAATTATTGTACTGTAGACTGAAGATCGTATATATTTCGTACCGATTTCAGTAACGATGCTTCAACTTGTACGAGAAGTAAACATTTAAAGAATTTTGTCTTTTATTGTTTAAATTGCTCTGGAACAGCGGATAAAATCAAATGGATAATATACGATTGTCTAGAGACACTGGAATGATTTATTTCGTGCAGGGATAAACGGGTGCGGCGAGGTACATCATTAAATTGTTACGTTCAATGCGGGCAGGGATTGTAGATGATTTAGTCTTCGTTTGGCAGCGTGGTTTTTCTTGTGAGAAAAGGCATCGGCGGCGGAAAGACATTCGATATGGGTATCACAGTATTGCTGTGGATTTCGTGATAACGTGTGGGAACACAAGTAGGAACACAGTAGTCAGTGATCATTATATACAGGTGGACCGATTATTGGTCCGGGCCGATTGTGGCGCGCAGAAATCAGGATGTGTTTGCGGATTTCGAGCGTACAGTCGTCTAACATAATTAATGCGTCTGATAATACCCACGCATTGCACGTTCACCGATATACGATCCACCGGGAATCGCTTACGGATCGACGCGCTCGAGGCCACGGTCCATCAAAAGGGGAATAATGTAATCGCGGAATTTCATTTTCAATTTGATTACGGTCAATATTGTCGGCGGATGTAACTCCGCCGCGGCGAACGAATCGGCGAAAATGAATATTTTGACCGTAGTAGACTGCGAAAATTCAATTAACCGCCGATGGGGTCGGCTCCGGGAAGAACTCAATTCACGTGACATCTAAACACTATTCCATTTTTACTCCCATATCCGATTTATGCAATTCTAAAATACAATAATCCTCGAAATTCTCTTAATTTCTCGTCTGCGCAACTTCCGTGCCCATTCATTCCAGTTTTCTGTCTATCTCAAAGTCCATATACCTGCCTCTACAAAGTAGTTCAAACCATTCCATTGCAACGAACGCTGAAATAGCGTCGGAATTTAATTTCCATAGAACAGAACGTTGAGACAATTACGCTTGATTAAAAGAGTATCAACACGAATCAAGGGGCAGCCCGATTCCCCGAGACCCGATGTGGATGTCTGCGGGTTAACAGGAAGTAATATCTTCTTGGCATTGTTAAACGATAAATATCTTGGCCGAGGAGGAAGAGCCTCGGCTGTCGGGCATGTGGTCATCAGCGGGGCACGGTAAATAAATCTTTAATTTAGCGGACTGCCTTTTACGGGCCACCCTACCCCGGTCCAACCCCTATCGGTGGGTCCGTAGATTTAATAAAAAGCAGCGGAGAGTTAGGCATCAAGTGGGTGCCCCATTGTGCCCTAGCATGAAAACATAAAAATCTCTCTATTCACCGTGGATTATCCGGACGTTTGTTTGCCTAAATGTTAGTGCGATTACGTGCACACGTACGGGCGCGCGTGTATCCGTTGGCTTTCTCTCTCTCTCTCGGTCTATCTCGCTCGCGCTCCGGTGCTCTCTAGCATCCTCTCTCCATCCGTCCATCCACGCACGCTGACATACGCGACCGGTTCGAACGATTCGCATCGACGCAACCTATTGCAACTGCCAGATAGAGCGGCACTGAAAAGTAGGATTAACGTTATAACGCATGAGTAGTAAATGCGCGTCTAATTAGTTCAAGTAAACGCGTGTAAGGGGATGATGTGAGAGGCACCGGCACCGTGGGTAACCGGCAGGGGACGGGGGGGATAGGCAGGAACGAGACAGACATTGAAACTCCATGTAAGTCGACGTCGTTATCGCGATATTATCTAATTTCGCGGGTAATCTTAGTCAATTGTGAAATTGAACGCGCCGCGTCTCTAATTAGCCGGCAGCGATAGAAAAGTGATTAGTCACGCTGATCTGCGGGATCACGCGCGTTCCGTCGCCCGCAATCCTATTATGTAGTAACTGTTCATTACGCTTTTTATCGGGGCTAGATTTTCACGTGCGCCGCGTCCCAGCGAGGTCGCGCGGGTTTTGTTTCGTAGATTGCTTTCTAATTCCCCGTGTCGCTCGTCACGCGACGCGCCTCCCACCGTCGCAAATGGAGGCAGATAATGTCGCTAATATCGTGTCAATATTAAAATTGATTGTTCGGGCGTCCATCTCCGCCTCCGATCGAGCACGCCCGCAACGCAAACCAATCTCGAGGGAACACGCCGCCGCGACCCTTCGACGCGGTTTTCAAAAGTCTCGAAAGTTCCCACCGCATCCGCCGTGTACCGTCCGTCCCCCGTACCATCGCGTGTCGTGTTACCCCCGCGTAACTTTAAACCTCTCATAAGAAAGTGATTGTTGTCGCAGTCAATCAAAAATTTACATTTTGTGTGTTGCTCGACGGTAATGAGCCTTCGAGCGGGTATATCGATGCTCCGTTAAAGACTAGTCCATGAATGAGCGCGGGGGGTAAAAAGCGAGACAGGGTGGAAAAACTGGGGGTTGGCGCTGAAAAGAGATGGAGAGAGGGGGTGAGAGAGAGAGAGGGTCGGAGTCGAGCGTGTGTGTTTCACGGCTACGCGCGAGGGTTGCATCACGGGGGGTGCGCACCGACGGGGCCACCAATGTACGACATGCACTCGTGATATTTGCTAATCACTGACGGCAACGGTTTTTAAGTACTATCGAGCGTGTAGGTATAGTGTACAGGCTCGCCATCGATGCGTCATATTTCATACACGGGCCGGGGATGTACAAAAAATGAAGCGCTGGGTGAGGCTTAAAATTGGCAAATCCGCCGATCGGACATGATCGGCGTATCGGGGCATATATCGGCGGCAGTCGTAGCGCGGCTTAAAAATGAAATTGCACCCACACCGACCGACCCCGCAGCATCTCCAACCCTCCACCCTCCTGGTCCACTTCTCGCCGCTTCGCCGTGTGTATCAGCGAAACGTCAATTTCGTTTTGGCAGCGTGGACGATTTAGCTTAATCGCCCCGATCCTCTCTTGCGCTCGAGCATTGGAGGCCTTGCGACCGTTCGGTGCGCGCACCCATTCAAACTTTAATACGTGTGTGCCTTTAACACCCGGCCGATCGCGTCTCTGTGCTAGGCACAATCGTCGTTAACGATTTTCGACCGGCTTTTCGGCTGTCGATTCGCCTTTTGACACCGTTTTTGCGCTCCCGGGCGCAGAGAATCCGGGAGATCGGCACTCGGACGGAATTGTTCGTGCGAATTTTCGTTTTCTTACGGACTCATCTTGCGGCCGGTTCTGTTAAACGGAAATTTGTTCACGAGGGTTTCCGCGTAATTCAATTATTTGATTTATAGAGGTTGTAACTGATCATCTCTTTCTTTATTGGAAATAAATTTTCTTGTGTTCACAGATCACGCGACGTCGTCCGACGCGATAGTTGATGGCGGTGAAACGGAGCTGGGTCATCTGAGTGATCACCAGATGAACGATGCTCTGCATGATTCTTTGAATCTTGGTGAATCCGACCGTCCCCGTAAGGTGAGACGTTCGCGTACCACTTTCACCACCTACCAACTACACGAACTGGAAAAAGCCTTCGGGAATACTCAGTATCCGGATGTGTTCACCAGAGAAGAACTGGCTATGAGGCTGGATCTCTCCGAAGCCAGAGTACAGGTGAGTTGAATTACCCTTTTGAAATTGACTCTTCATTTAATTAATCGGTTATTATAATCTATAACTGTTTGCCAATTTCACAACTCGGTCCTGTATAATTTCTATGATTTTATTTAATATTCAACGATTCCAGTTCGACGATAACATTTCTTGTTTCACTAAAAACTATAATAGATACAATTCAGTTCTCAATTTAAAAAAGGAGGTTATTTTCATTCAGTGTGCTTCTACGAATTTAATTTCTCGCATTACTCATTATTTTAATGAACTTTCATATTATTCATAAAAGCGATTTCTCGTATAGCACCCTGGGAAACTTATCCAGTTTTACACGGACGCCAACAAACCAAAACAACGAAACGATAGGTCGTTAAAATGCAACGGTGCCGAACTCGTTTTCGAGAACATTCCGCAAACCATCAATTCCCAGGAACAAACACCGGCTTCCCGACTTATATTTTTTCCTTCTTTCATCCATGAGGAGTTTGATAGAATTATGGTTCCCGAAGGTCCTGGAAATAGTCTCTAAACCCCTGCACGCTCGTCGGCAGCTTTTCAAGCATGATATTCGAACGTAGGAAGCGGCGGCTGAATGAGCCGTAACCTCAGTGTGGGCCTCTCAACTAATTACACACTATTGTACCGAAAATCTGCCGCTCCACTTCGACGTCAGTAATTTCGCAAAAGACGCGCGCCAGATCATACCCTCGATGCTGCCGGTAGGCGGAGGGGGGTCAGTCAAGAGGGGTAGTAAAGGCGGCACGGGAGGGGGAGGATTAATTTCATGCGAGCCAGTCAAACGATAAAGAGCCGCGTACCACGGGGTCGTAATCTGCTTTGAAATTATTTTCCAGCCGTGTCTTTCTAACGGCTGCGTGAGGAAATGCCAGGTGAGCGCGTGTTTCAGCTTGAATGAAAACAAAAAATGAACGATGAAAAAAGCAAAATACACGGAAGGAAAAAAAAGAAACGCTAAAGCGGATTGACGCACACGGTGCAACCGCGCGACTATATGACGATAAACCTGGAAACAGTCTAAATAATCAACGCGATTTTCATCGTCTCCAACCCCCTTTTCATTATACATTATTCTATTTCCCATCTTTTTCTTCTTTATTTCGTTCGTTGCGCACACAGGCACACACGCGCGCGCGATCCGACACGACGCGTTTTTCGTACGATTTTATATATACGTTTCACCGGCGCACACCGGTCTAAATCGATAACACACGCAGTTAAAAAAATGTCTGCTCGACATTTTTTTTCCGCCCCCGGTCGCGCTCATTTGTTTCGAGTGCGTCGGATACACGGGGCAAAGGCAGCGCGTAACGGAGCGCGCTCTAATCTTGCAAAAAGATGCAGATGTGTCCATTAGCAAATGCTTTATTATTAGACAGACAACGTAGTCGATCCATGCGACCTATTAAGAACGGTTATTTTCATGCTCGGAAAGGAATTCGTTCTCATTTTCGATAATTTTCCACACTCCCGCTGTCCCGCGGACCAGCGATTCGTCTGATCGGTTGCCAGCGGATCGCGCGAGATAAATACCGGCCCCTATTCATTTGTATTATCACTCGATCGTTCGCGAAACGAGCTGATGGGGGCCAGGTACGTGACGCGGAATCGCCGTGACGACAGCTGCGGGTATTGGCGCGGTCTCCGCCATAAATTATGACTTTTCCATGGATGGAAATCGGTTACTCGATTAGCGTAACCATCCTGACACCCTCGTACGCACGCGGCGAAGTGAGAAGAGCGGCCGAGCAGGCGAGGAACGATAGAGATAGGGATAGATGGTTGACGAGAGGATGAGAAGGTAGAGCGAGGGGTGGATACAAGAAGGACAGGGAAGAGGATAAGAGAAAGAGGGACGATGAGAACGAGAAAGAGAGCGTTGTACACATCTACACTGCACTGTGTGGGTGTGCACCGGTGTGAACGTGTGTCCGACTGTGTGTGCATGTATATAGCATAGAGAGAAGGGTCGTGGATGGAGCAGTCGCCGAAGGGTGGCGCGCAGAGTTGAAAAGAGACAGAGAGCATTCCGATTGGCCCATTGTGGTACAGCCAAGCGACAATGCCGGCAATTGGCCGTCGCTCGACAAAACCGCTAAATGATCCGCCGCGGCGCAGTGGTGCCACGGCCACTTTATTTCAATCTAGGAAATCCTCCGCTACTCCTCCCTCGCCGCCCTCAATTCCAGATGCGAAATTACCCATTTTTCGGTATTAATGGCCGGCCGATGTATCGTGTTCGATCGTCGATCGGGCCCGATGGTAATGGAATCGCGAATCGTTTCTGCCCGCTTCCTATCCCGCCGTAACACTCTCTCCCCGCGTATCAGGCTCGCTTTCGCTTTTTCCGACGCGGTGTGCGTCCCCGACGCCACCGACGCTTTTCAATTTGACAAGAGGTTTTTTCTTCTCTTCCCTTTTATTGTTTTTGTCTTTCGGTTTCTCTTTGTTTTTCTTTCTCTTTTCATGGCTTCGACGGCGCTCGGAACAAAAGGCGAAGACAAAGGGAGGAATACCGTTCCGCGGAACACGGGGACGGAATTTTCGGGACGGCCGGGGCCGGAAAAATTGAGAGTTAGCGGATCGAAGAAGCGAGAGCGCGCGAACAGGAAATTTGCGGCGGAGACGGTGAAAACGTTACACCGAGACTGCACGGGACGCGGCGCGCGAGGGGTTGCCGTCGGCGCGAGGGGCGCGGGCGGCTGGAGGCGGAGGGGATTCAAACTTTCGGGTTCGCGTTGGGTCGCTTAAATGACGCACTGCAAGGTTTGCGAGCACTTAGGCGTTAGCGGGGTATTCAGGAACGATTAAATAATTAACAGCAATTAGGCAATTGAATTTCCCGCCCCGGCCTCGCGACGTTCGCCTCTTTCCCTCGCTGCACAGCCGACCGCGCGCCTACCAGTCACTTTCAAACTTTCCTTGATTTTTTGCCTCCGCTCCGCGACAATATTTTCTACTCGGTTTTTTGTCGTCTTTTCGATAACCGAAGTGACTCAACATTGATTACTCAGGACAATCTACAAAAATCAGGTATATACTGTGGTCTATCGTGATTAGAATTTTGATGCGCAGCACTCGCATTAAAGAATTTTATGGAAAGTTGGAAAATATTTTTTAATACGAGCTTTTACTGAGAAGTATCTATTAACGATGAAAAAAGTATCCATGCTATCATTGCTGATCTGCTTTATGTTATAGACAATTTAAGTAAACTACCAAAAAAGTATTTTACCACCAATAACGTTTAATTCATTTTTTCAATTCTAATTAATGTTAGACCTTGCTAATATGATTCATGTCCTCCCGACTAAATATTAATCTATTTGTTTATATTCCTCGTTAATCTGTGAAATAAATCGGTCGTACGTGGCGCGTCCCTTGATATCGTTGGCAATAGAAAGCAATTCCGGCAATTGAAGGGAATCTCGGAAGAAAAGGCGTCGCGAGAAGATGATCCGACGATCGACGCGTATCGGATCGATGGCTGGTGACCGTCGCCGGCTGAAAAGCGCTGGATTTCCGACACAATAGGGGAAGGATGTAAAACGCAATCTCCCTCTCTTTCTCCGTCTCTTTCGCGGGGTCTGCCGGTGGCCACGAAAAATCAGAGCAGCTCAGGCGGAAAGCGAAAGCATTTATATGGCAACGGGGCCAGCGGTAACGGCGTGCCAGGGGTTTGGTAGGAAGACGAGGGGCGAGGGCAGGGGTTGTCGCCACTCAGGGGTACGGAGGAAATCAGGATAATTGTTAACAATTAGCTTAATCAACCTCGAGAGCAAGCTTTTGTTGGGTGGTTCTGATACGGCTGGCTAGGGTTCTCATGCGTTGCTGGCGTATTTTCTTCCGAGAAATAATTCGATGATTTCGCGCGACAATTGTTCCCTTAATGCGCCCTGGCAAAAGAGAGGGGCTTTTTTTCTAAAGCACACAGTAAAATCTTTCGCAATAAGTTACGCTCGTTATTTCGCTCGCTTTGTTTTCATTTATTTCTAATATTTCTTTTTACACGGCAATCATGTAGCGATACTCAGCATTGATGTTTCTTCTTTTCCAGGTCTGGTTTCAAAACAGGCGCGCGAAATGGCGTAAGAAAGAAAAGGCGCTCGGCAGAGACACCAGTTTCATGCACGTGGAACAGAGCGGTGAGTGCAGATCAAGATTTCATAATTACGAACCATGTTCGACCGTGCTCAAAGGCCAGCGGTCTGAACCTTCGCGGTTTGCACGGCGGAAATCAGGAATTTTTCCGATTCCCAGTCCGTTCGCGACGACGACGAACCGCGTGGCATGTTTGTTAATATACCAGCAGACGAGGCGCGAGAAACGTTACGAAGGGTAGATGCAATCGACGCCAATTACATCTAATTTCAGTGCCGGCCATCGTGGCCATCGCATGCGAGTGAAGCGCAACGGAAGCTTGACCGTTTAATTTTTCATGAAAGCCGGACTCCCAGCGCTTCGTGAAACCTACCCCCATATATATCCCCTGGACAAGCGAATGATTTTCTTCAAAATTTACTTCCTACATCAATAGTCACCCGACAAAGAACCTTCCGCTTCACCTTACTTCGAATCTCCTAATCACCCACCAATACCAAACAGAAACTTAACTAAAAGAGATTCAGTGCACTGAACAATTGCTATTTACCATTCTCCCAATCTATCCAGAATCTTTCGCCCACTCAACTCTTCATCCCACTCTATTCAATTTCCGTCACACACAACGCAGCCTAGCACAAACGGGTCCAGTAATCTATAGGCGTCCATGGGACGTCTTCGCGTCACAATAGCCAACAAAACGTGGTAAATAGTAATTAATGTCAGTTTGAGCGGTGCGCGCGCCCGCAGGCACAGCCAGACCGCAGAGCGTGCCGGCCGGTTTGTCCCCGGGAGGTTGGACCGCAAAGGGCCAACCAGCCATCCGCCGTTCCTCCCTCCCTCCCGGCCCTGTTTCGACCAGCCAACTACCCCAGCCGCTGAAATTCGCAGAAACAACGAACTAAAATCCCTGCAAAACGGTGTGATTGCAGGTGTCAACGAGTTGTCCCTTCACGCACGATTACTTCAAACCGCTGGTGGTGTGCCAGGTGCGGACCCATCGGGCGGACCAGCGGGAGCGTTCCCTTGGTTCATCCCGCCGGTGTTCCCACCGCCGTGGCCGGCCAGCGCGCCGAAACTGCCCCCGTTGCACGCGATCCTGTCGCAGTATATCGGGCTGCCGCTTCCTCAGAACCTGGCGTCGCTCAGCACGGTCCTCCCGGTCGGCCTGAACCCGGCCTCGTCCTTGAACCACGGGAACGTGAACGGGCACACGCTCGGCAGCCACCTACACGGGCACCCGTTGAACCTGGGGGTGCAGAGTCTGCCGCAGAACCTCAGTTCGAAGCACGACAAAGAGGAGGACTCGGCCTCGTCGGACGACGAGATCAGGAGGCAGAGCGCGGAGGTGCTGAGAGTGAAGGCGGAAGAGGTGCTGCGCAAGGTGGACAATTAACTGTGGAGATGGGACCGCGTAACGTCTGGTTTCTTGTAAATATTGGGGAATCTGGAGACAGGAGCGGCTGGTCTGAAGGATGTCGATGAGTTGTGGACTGTGATCGTCGCGCGTGCGGGATGTGGTTTCTCATGATGATGCGAAGGGAGGACGATAGCGTGTACATTTGTCGAACAGTAGAGGAACTCTAAGAATTTCGTCGGGATCATTTTGGGGGGAGCGCAGGATTGTCTGTCGCCGCGTGACAATTGAAACTGTTTCGGTGATTAAGAATAGTCATGTTTCGTTTCTAGTTGAGGGTAGATAACGATGAGAAGACTCTTTGAACCGCTGGCGGTTTTAGTAGAGTGTCTACGAATATCTTATAATTTTCCGATAGGTATCACGATGTAATGATTCGTTTGTGAAGACAATCTATGATTACGCGTTGTAAGCCTGTTAATACGTAGGGATGACAATACGGTTCGAGGTGTTGTCCGACTTATCGGTTACTTCTAGTAGGATTGCAGGGTTCCGAAGATTGTTTTATTTATTTCGGGTGTCAACGGTGGACGTGAACGGTTCCAGCTGGACTCGGAGTTTCTTAGAGGACTGTTAAGGTTTATTAGGAATCGCGACGATGATCGGGTCGAACCGTAGTTGAATAAAAACTTTTGTAATATATATGTATTATACACAGATCTACGTACATATAAAGACACGTACAATTTCTCCAGTGTACATATGTAGTTAATTAAGTACGTTAAGAGGAAATATATGATACTACTTGAACATGTTGATGTTTCATTGCTCTCTTTCCACTTGTATCGGTTCGATTGGACATACTTCTTTCAGTTCGCAGGGAACATTTATTTCAATAGCCTTTATTAACCTCTTCCTTGCTTCTAAAAATACTAGGAAAATCAATTAACCATCCCGAACAAACATGCACCTACCCCAACAAGTCATCGCTCATTTATCAAAAACGAGATTATCAGGGCAATAAAAAATACCGCTCAACTACACGGAAGCACGAACCGTTACACCGCTCTTAACATTACATCAGCAATCCCTATCAGCATTCTCGGCTAATGAACGTATTTTCCCGAAACACCCCGCCCCCGTTCGGCTCAATTCTCCGCTCTGTGAGAACCCGGTTAATGCGGCGCCGCGCGGCGAAATCGCTTCCGTGTCATTAATCACGAAAAGATTTCGGAGTCGGCGGCGTGGCCGCACAACGATTTCCTGAATTCCGGATTGTTCGGGGCAGCTGGCGCAGGTCTTTTCTGCCACGGGGGCGACAGCGTGTACGAACGGGTACGTATAGTCGATGGGGGCCGACAATTCGATTCCCACGGAGTTTTCGGTGTAAACATCAACGGCGGCGTTTAATCGCGCCGTTACCGCCCGTTCTCGACGTCCCGCAGTGGTCTAGAGTGAATTCTCAGCAAGAAAAAAGTCCACGATTGAAAATAAAATAATATGAACATCAGTAAATGTTCCGTGAGTTATACACGCTACTTAAATGCGTTCTTCTGGCATTAGATCAATCAACAATGATGAAAGTGATACTAAACTACATGCTCGAATATATCAGCAAGTTTCAATTTCTCAAATATAATTATATTATATAATAATTCTACCATAAAAACACTATAATTCTATTAATTCGATTTTCCTTACGTTCGTCGGCAAATTTGAAATCGTACGGGAAACAGTATTGCGACCAATACAAAAAATGATTTTACAATTCGCCCATCCTAATCCGACAGTCTAGATCACTACGCGTCCCCGCGTTTCGTTTCCCACGTGCCCCGGCAGGTACACACGCGCTCCGCTCTTCCCGGTAACACGCACAACGGCAATTACAATCCGACCAATTTATCCGCCTTATCAGGAATTTATCGGCCGGGTAAGGACGAGCGACGCGCGACGACACAGACGCGACAATTATCGTTATCGTTATTGAACCACCGGCGGACGCTGCACGGCCGAAGCCGGGCAGGGGGCGAGCCGGAGCTAAACCACAGGGAAGTAATTATTGCGCCACCTGCGCCGGGACGATCGCCGTCGTTCTGACCGCGATAAGATCTCGCCGCGATACCGGCGCGAGTCCAACGGGAAACGTTGCCGGCTCGTTTCCTGGTCGAGGCTTCGCGGTATAATATTTTCGGCTCGTTTCGATTCCGGCACCGTGGGAGCGCGCCGCCGGGGGTGGCTTTCGTGACGCGCGAGGGTGTCGCCTAATTACCAATGACTCGCGCGAATTAGGCACGATGATGAATTCCCGGTCCCTCGGGTTTACCTTTATTATTCAGGAGGCGATCGTTTATCGAAAAGTTGTACCGAAAATGGAAAATGACGGTTCCTCTTGCGAACGGGGTAAGGACTTATGGATATTAAGTTTCTATCGATTGCGACGTCTGTGTTGATACGAGATATTTAAGAGTAAAGTGAATGATTGAAAAATATATATTTCTGTCTGTTTTAAAGGTAGATGTTTGTTTTAAGATTCAGTGACAGTTTATATTATACTCTTATCATTTCAGGATATTTAAAAGGTGTATTTTTCAATTTCATTTTATAATGGAACATCTAAAATTGACATTAGTGATAGGAAGATATAGAAATAAAGTGTCTCTTTTGCTGAGAATTATCTGTGATTAGATAATGTTACCTCACCCTACAGTTCGAATTAATTGCATTTTTCTGGTACAGCTTCGGTCGGAAACGCGAAAGTCTGCGGGCAGGAGGAACGGCCGCGCCGCACTCGAGATACTCCGCAGACATTTTATATTCGCAACATTAGAAAGAGCACGCGCATGCTTTCGAAATTCCGTCCCCCCCGCCGCTCGCGTTTTAGCTCGACAACCGTGTCGCATAATGCTGTAAAGTTCCGCTAAATGGAACCACTAGAATGAGAAAGAAACGCTCCGGGTCCACTTTTTCCCCCGCTTTCATTCACCGTGCCGTATCGTAAGCATTCGCACCTATACCTGTCCGCGCGATGCATTCAGATATCGATGGTCGCCGCGAGTAACACGTAAAAGTCTTCGTCGAAAGTATCAGCGGCGACCCAACCGACGTTCCCCATTAAATAAACTCTACCCACGAATAAACTCGGGTCCGATGCTTCGAATAAATTATTTCTCGTTCGAAGAACGCTGTACCCGCCATTTACACGTATACATACACACAAAACGAAAAAGAAAGAGCGTAACGGAAAAATGTCACTATACTTTGCAAAAAGAGCTGCCAATTTCAAAGGACTCGCGATGGTGATACACGGTCGCTGTCAAATTGCCAATTACCCGGGGTAGGTCCGAACCCGGAATATGTCCGAATGTAATGAACTTTTAATAAACGGTGTATTACAAGAATTTAATAAACGTTTATTATTCGTTGGAATTTAATAGCCGCGTTAAAAGTTCGCGCCGCGTTTTTAGACAGCGGCCGCGGGAACACAGAAACCACTCGTCCCGTGTGTTGCGGGGCCGCTTCCTTCCTGTTTTATTTTCGCCGCTCGCCACCGCCGCGTAATCATATGTTTTAAGAGGGTAGTCGCGGGGAGGGTGGTCGCCGAGCCGCGGAAACGGGAGGGAGGCGGCGGTGGTCGAGGGATCAGAGTTGAATACCACTGATCGCGATCGCGACGGCTACGAAGGACAATTAGATTAAAAGCAGCGCCTCTCGCGGCGGCTTGAGATCCATTAGTGCCCATTGTACCACCCCATTTGTACCCCCGACGCACCACCCCCGTGTGCCGTTACTTCAGCCCCTTCCGCCTTCTCCCCCGAGCGCAGCCACCACCATCTCGAAGCCAGGTACTTATTCTCAATAGTAATATGCTCACTTCATACTTCCATCCGCCCCCGCGGCCCCCTCGTCGCGGCCTCACCCTCTTTTCCCGGCTTCGACACCCACGAACACGTCTCTCCCTCTTTCTTCGTCTTTCGCCCGAGCACGCCGCCTTCCACCCTCTTCCTTCTTCCCTCTTCCATCCGTTCTTCGTCACTTCCCGCCGCCGTCCGTCTCTCTTCCGCCGTTCTTGAGGAGCGGAAAGTCGCGAGAAGTGGCGCGGTCTGAAAAGATTTCTCCGCTTGTGAAAATCACTAGCTGCTGATACGCGTCCAAGAACACACCGGCATTAATGATACCCTGAATGACATCAATTAGTCCATCTGCCGTGATAAACCTCCATCGTCGAGATTACTACCTATTCTGCCGTCTTTTCTTCCCCCGCAACCCGCGGCCGAGCAGACGCCGCGGCGGTGGTAAGTAACTGATCCTCTCCGCGCGCCGCTGCTCCTGTACACTCCTACGGCGTGATCGCAGCGCATAATGTTAACGATGACAAACTTCGTTGTATCCTCGAGGGCTGCGAGAATGGCTGCCTCGTCGGATCCGACGATTTCTTTTCCGATTCTCCGCGTCACCCGAGGCGTTCCCTTCTTGGAGATTCGTTTTCGGGAATCGCTCGTTCGATCTTGGGATTCTTATCGTTTTTATTCTTGTCTCTTATTGCTTCGGTGATTTCTTCATTATTCAGCAATGACAAGTACGTTGCACCGTAACAACTGGATCATAGTGACGTGGACTTTTGATCTTCAACCTTTGGACATTCAATTTTCTAGGCATCAGGTACCAAAGCACAATTCAGTTAGCTGATGCACTAATTCTTATTTAAAGTTCGAAATGCATTGTACTAGAAGCAGTCGGAACTAGGCAGTGAGGCAGGTTTTATATTCTATTCGAGGCACTGACCACTTTCACTCCGGTTAGCGCCATTTCGTTGCACCCGGTAGCGCCGTGCTTCTTATATTTTCTTACACATGATATCCTGATCCTTACTCGGGCGTCCAAGATTAGGACATTTGTACGTTTCAGATATTGGAAGTTATACTTCAGCGTCAGGACACACTGGCTCAACAGCGCATCGCGGTTCAAACTTAATCTCTCGCGAAAAATTGAATTCCTGGCCAAAGAGATTCTAATTAATCTCTTCCGGCGCAGTATTCTCCCTTCCCGGCGACCGGAATTATTTCATTTTCCCGTTTCTTTAAGAGCGGCTCGCGTGTTCCCTCCGAGCGTTTAATTGCCGGCCAAGGAATGTGTTGTGCTTGCTCGGGCTCGGAACACGCGCGCCGTTTTCGCGTTCCTCGTCCGCGAAATTCCTCCTCGTGTTTAAATTGTAGATACAATTTGTAAGCCCCGCCGGTGAACAGGGAGGTGCCTCTTGAAAACAGAGCCGCGATACAATGGTAGACCGAGGAATCGGCGTACGAAATGGCACGAAACGATACGATACGAAGCCATGATACGATTGTACTAGGAACTATTTACCTCCGCATTTGCATGCATAATCTTTCCCGTATAGTTTTCGGTTGCTCGACGATGCGTTTCAAAGATATTGCACTCGTGGCGTACGCGATTTTTCCGGGGGAAATTATTACTGGAGTAGGTAAGTTCGGGGGTGCTCAACATTAATTCCGCTTGGAACGTATAATTCATTTACACTCGAAGAATAGTATTCCTTTTACATTAACGCAGATGCAATTGTAAAAAAAGATTAATAGTAACACGTATACGTATGCACTGGTAAAGATATCTCTTCTAGTGCTCTGAATTTCGAAAATA